TTGCTTTGTTTGGTTTTCGGTATTTGGATATTTTTTCTTTGTTTTCGGGCGAAACGTGCGTAGCATACTAATTTGGACTAAATGGATACAAGTTACATATTGTATATAATATATAGAGTATATGTATATATATATGGAGGGTATATGGAGGGTCTTAGCCTAGCCCTGACTGCGGAACGAGGCTGTAAAACGTTTCGTTTGATTAATCAAACGAAAAGTGTTGAAAATGTTATTTTTGCCAGCGCTGCAAATGTCGCATTTGTGATTTTTATGTGACACAGATTTACGCAGGCAAACAAACATAATACATAACTGTCTGTATACATATATAAATACGTGCGTGCGTGTGTGTGTGTTCGGTCAGTCTATAGAAAAAGCCACAAATGGCGCCATTTAGTTGTTGAGCAAATGTAGCCATAAAGTTGCCAAGACAAACGTTGACAAATCATAAAAACCGTGCAGACGGACAGAAGGAGCAGCTCAAAGCGCTTCTCGCTATGGCCCTATTAAATCAATCGGCCATAAAAAAGAGCGCACACAATAGTAGAGCTGATAAAAAACAAGGAGGGGCGCGAAGGGCCCTCGGAGTGCAGACCTGAAGGACTTGAAAGTGTTCGCTCTCGCTCTGCAGCTAATTAGTCAAGGCAAAGGCTCCACACTTGAATGTAAACAGAATGGAATGAAAAGCCTCAGGCAGAAATTAAATAAGTAGCGAAATCGTAAACGGCTGTAAGCGACTGCTTGATGCTCGTTCAAGTATTTTTAATATACGCTTGACCCATTGAAATAGGCAATTGGGAATCAGGCTATAGGCAGAAGGAGGCATGGCAGGTCTACTCGGCTAACTCTCCAGTTTGATAAGTTCACTCACAGCTAACACATATACCCTTTTCCCTTTACAAACGAGCATAAAAACGCGGCTTCATTAACGCCAGCCAGAGCAGGAGCAGCAGCAGAGGCAGCAGCAGCAGCAGCAGCAGCAGCAGAGGCAGCCTTGCAACCCGACTGAAAACGTGCCACATTCAACTGCCACATTTGTCATTTAACATTTGGCAAACGTATTAAAACACCCCATCATTGCCTTAATTAAGAGCCATAAAAGCACATTTACTTATTGTGACTGAGCTACAACAGCAGCAGCAGGAGGAGCAGGAGGCGGAGGAGCAGCAGCAGGCGGAGGAGGAGCAGGCACCAGTTCGAGCTGCAAACTGGCCGCTGTGGCACGTCTTTGACGCTTTTATTTATGCCCCAGCCAAACAGCCAGTCAGAGAGCAGTCGAAGCACTCGACTCGCCCAACCATTTGTCGTGCTTAATTCATGGCTAAAGTTGGAATTAAGTGAATTTTACGTTCATTAACGTGCGAGGGTTGTGCTCCAACCCCACCAAACAACAAGGGCTGAACTATATATAGATGCATGGTATATACAGTAGTGGGTGTGTGGGTGTGTGTGTGTGTGTGTGCTGGTTACTTTTTGCTGGCATTCGCTTTGCCAGACAGTGTTGATAATTAGCAGTGCGTCTAATGTTGCCCTAATAACGTAAATTTGTGGCTTAGTGGAGCAGCAGTTGAACATTAGAATTGAAGTGGTTAGCGCACTGAGGGAGACAGCGAAAGAGCGAAAGAGAAAGGTAGACAGACAGCGAGAGGTGAGCTCTAGCATAAAAGTAAACATGACGAACATTTGATTAAATGCTTGGATTACATATGGGCAGCTAAATATAGCAGCAAAATGTTCAGTTGAAAAGGTTGGTACAAAAGGATTTTAACTAAGGAATTGTCTTTAATGTTTTTTTTTTTTTATATATATATATAAAACTTAATATGACATATTTTGGTTTTGTTGAAAAAAGTGAGTTTCAATTATAATAAAAATTCATTTAATACCAAAAGTTCGCAGAAAACATTTTAAAAATTATTTAAATTAAAATTTTTTTTTTTAATTTATAAAAACCATTCGTAATTTACCCTTTAACAATTTTTAAATTTATATTTAGTTAACTATTTGTATTTTTTTTTTTTACGAAAATATTTAAAAATTCCTTACAGTTTCTTTTTAATAGTAATATACTAATATAATACAATAATCTAGTATTATTATATTGCTTATTGCATCTGTAATTTTAGGCAGTTTTCTAATCTGTTCCATTCAAGTAAAAATAATTAATCCTTGCCAGCTTTAAAAAGTTATCAAATACAATAAATAAAATATTTAGTTTTTCTTACTATAAATTTGCATTAGTTTCAGAAAAACTCCAATTGCTTTACTAACATTTTTTTATTATTAAAATTAAAACTTTTGGCCATATCTTGAGTAACAAATTGGGCACAGCAAAGTTGTTTGGCAACAAATGAGAAACTTTTTAATAGCCTCTCCATATGACAGTTTTCTGCATGCCCAAGCTGTGTAACTGGACCCAAAATGTTGACCACTCAAACAGAGAGACGCAGCATCCAGTAGAGAGTCGAGTCAAGTCTCTCTCTCTCTCTTTCTCTCTCGAAACTAAACGAGATTGTGCCGCAATGCTACGAATAGCCTGTTAATTAGTCTCACTTAGAAAATAAACTGCAGTAATTAAGAGAAGGCAGCCAAAAAAGGAAAAAAAAAAAGAACTTTAGCGTGGCTCCACCCACGGCAAACGCCCCAAAAAGAAGCTATAAAAAATACAAATTTATATATACTATATATATATTTCAAAAAGAGAGCAGCGCAGCGACGGCAATGGAGTGAGCATTTTAATTTCAACGCTAGAATTCTAATTAACAAACAAATCCGACAAAATACACAGCGGCAGTTACCCAGGGGAGCGAAAGAGATGGCAAAGTTTTGGGCCAAAAAGGCAGCGTCGAGGCGATGGCAGCAAAAAAGTATGCTATATAAAAACGTACGGCTGGAAGGGGCTGGAAGAAGAGAACGAAAACGAAAACGAAAACGAAAAGGAAAAGGAAAACCCTGTGAGCCATGATCTCCCAATTTAATATTATAATTGCTACAATTATCATTCTCATGCCATTTACACAGCAATTGCACAAAGACAACAACAAAGCGACGACGACGACGACGACGACGGCAACGGCGACGTTGACGACGCCGTCGTAAAGAAAGCAACAAAAAAGGGCAGCACGTCAAGTGACTGGCTGCGGGTTGCGCATATGTATGGCAAATTGAGGCAATTACCGGCTCTTCTCACCCTCAGGCTGCCTGTGTGTGGGTGTGCGTGTGTGTGTGTGTGTGTGTGTGTGTGCTCTATATACATATATACATGCTATGCTGTGACTCCACCCACAAGACGTTGCGCTCTCACAGCTGCACGCCTTCTCTTTCGCTCGCACAGGCATGCTCTCCACGCATGCGTTGCGCATGTCGGCGCCGACGTCGACGTCGACAGCAGCAGTAGCAGCATGGCGGCGCACAGATGATGCCCATGATAATGGCGTTCATTATGTGAAGTTGACTGCGGCAGCGACGACTTCTAATGGGCGCATTTTAAAATGAATGTCTCAACTTTTTCTATGCTGCCTTGACTACTTTTTCGTCTATGTGCGCCAAATAATGATAATTTTTGTCAATTTGAGTGCAGAGAAGTGAACTTTTGAGCTCTTAATTGTATAACTTTATCTAAACTCCAGTAGCTCCAACAATATGTTAACAGATCCCCCACACTTAGACAATGACAAAAAAAAAAACCACAACAAGCAAACATTAATTGATTTGTACATAAACGATAATTTGAGACGACAAGCTAAATTGATTACAAAATGTTTTGCAGCTGTTATTATTAAATTAATTTGTCATCAAACAAAGCATTAAAACGTTTCATTTGCCCAGCCAAATCTGCATAAAAGCAACCCCCAAATGGCTAAAAAAAAACATAGAATCATGTAGATTTTAGTTGGAAACATGACACAGAAATAATCACAAATGTTTCGATAAAGCTCATGACAAGGGTATAGATAACGCATTTGAATAAGTTTTATCATTCGACTCGAACTAATTGAGTGTGATAAAAGTGCCTGAAACTAAGTGCTGACAAATTCCCTACAAGAGCCCCCAGACTAGCAAGGGGCTTGTCTGGGGCTTTATTTATATATATATATATTTTTTTTTATCTAGTTTTTCCCCTCCTAATTGGTTAGCCTTGGTTGGATCATCAGTGTAAAGTCCAAAGTACAGTTAAGCAATAATCAATTGCTTAACATTGCTTGTCGTAATTTTCAGTAGCAAAAATCGTTTTGTTGTTCATGCTTATGTTGTTCCTCTTGTCATTGTTGCTGTTGCTATTATTGTTGTTGTTGTAGTCGTGTGTAGTCATTGGGCTTTCAACAGAAGTCGTTTAGTGTTTGGCTACATGTCATGTTTGTATTTCATAGATAAAATAGCGCGCAATTGTGCCAGCCCAGAATATGTGTAATTATCGTTGTCACTAATTAAAGCGGGTGTGTGTGCGTGTGTGTGGACTCGAAATTGCATCTTATCTTTCGAAAAAAATGAAACTTCTCAGGGATATTTTTAGGTTCATTACTGGGATTTTGTGCGATTTGTGCAGACAAAGTGTCGTATTTCACAAATCCAGTCTACGGGTAATCAGAAAACAAGTTTAATTAGTGCAGCTATAGCGATAAAGTCGTTACTTCTAGAGAGAAGACTATTTCAAATACTATTTTATTATATTAATAGTTAAGTATTTAGTAAGCAACGCTAACATTCTGTTAAAGTTCTTAGTAAATAGTTTATTAAATAAGGTATTCATTCAATATTATTTACTCATTAATAAAAGTAAATTAATAATAAACAGTCTGCCGTTTAAATTTGAAAATCAATTTCAACCGCCTTTAGCGATTATTTTCAACTTATCGATAGAACATTTTGCATCACTGCAGAGAAAACTTTAGCTTGTCCCGTATTTTACAGCACTGTCTTTATACTTAACAGTGCGCCTTTACAGCTGTTATTAACCCAATAGCAGCGCAAAAGAAAAAAGGAAAAAAACAAAAACAAAAGAAGTGCATAAAAACAACTTACAAACTATTTTTTCATATAATTGCGAATAGAAAGCTAAACAAATCTTACCGAATATTAAAAAAGGCAAATAAGTGCTGAGCTCGCAGCTTGCGTAAAATGCGTAATATCTCTATTGAGTAAAAAATATTAACTTTGCTGCGTTATTTTAAAACAAAAGTCAATTATGAAGAAACTGCAAAAATATTTGCTTTGCTTGACGATTTTATTATGCAGCCTTGCTGTGACAAATGCGAGTCCTTTTAGGTGAGTTATTACCCACAATGTTTGTGAAATTAAACAAAGATAAGCACTAACTATTCCTTGCTCCTGCTATGCAAGATTTGCGTAAACGTAAGCAAAAATAGAAACAGTTGTAGCAAAAGGGGAAACTACGAATCGATATTTCGATATGCCGCATGCAGGCATCAAGTTCAAGGTTGCCCCCATCTTGAGCCGTCCGCACTATAACCTCCACAAATTACTCACAGCTGGTGTTGTTTTTTTTCCCCGTTTTGCGTCGTTTTTCAGCGCTCTTGATGAAATATCCGATTCGGGTGTCGCCCTGGCCAACGCATCAGATGAGTCAAGCAGCTCCGTTGAGCAACCTTTGAAGCGACCCAGCGCTGCGGATTTCTCGGACGAAGATGAGGAGGACAACGAGGACTATCCGCTGTACACGAATATCGTTGGCAGGGATCCGCATAACTGGGATGTGCTTGTCTTTACACAGCAATGGCCGGTGACTACGTGCTATCATTGGAGGGAGGAGGATCCATCGCACGAGTGCACCCTGCCGCAGAAGAAGGAATTCTGGACCATCCACGGCATCTGGCCGACCAAAATGGGCCAATTCGGGCCGAACTTCTGCAACAAGTCCGCCGAATTCCATCCGGAGCAATTGGAAGCGATTATGGATCGTTTGAATACCTACTGGTTGGATCTGGAAGGAGAAGAATCGCAGGATTATCTCTGGAAGCACGAATGGCTGAAGCATGGCACCTGCGCTGCGGCCCTTGAGGCGCTAAACAATGAGCTGAAGTACTTTGGACAGGGATTGAATTGGCGCGAACAGTACGTCATGTCCAAGATTCTGGACGCCTCTGGCATACATCCCGACTCGAACAATACGGTGATTGCTTTGAACAATGCTTTGGTGCGCGGCCTGGGCAAGAATCCATCCATCCACTGCTTATACGATGGCAAACACGGCATTAGCTACCTATCGGAGATACGCATATGCTTCAACAAGTCCCTGGAGCTGATCGATTGCGATGGCATCAAGCTGGGCGATGTGATGGCCGTCAGATACCCAGGTGGCACCGTGAACACCAATTGTCACATCAGCAATCCTGTCCATTATCCTAGCCTAGTGCCGCCACTGCAACGCAAGGGCGAGTGGAAATTCCCCTTGGTCAATGTCTACAAACTGTTGCAGTTCCTCATGTGGTTTACACTGTAAAAAACTACCCATCCGTCTCTCTTTTCGAGTATTTACTTTGTTTGCATCATTTGTTATAATCCACAACAACAACAAAAAGCATATGAGATCTTATTACACTATTTTTTTTTATATACACATATATACTATAACTGTATTATAACCTGGACTTGAGGCTAAATTTGGATGAATCGTGCAAACCATATCAGAGAAAGTACATATAAATCATGATAAGAAAACCATATATAATATTTCGCTATATATTAGGCTTGAGGCTAAATTGTAAACAAAAAGATGACTAATCATGTAAATCAAATCACGATTCTATCAGCCCAAGTTGCATGATCGTGTAAACCATATATGAACTATGTATGTATATCAGGACTTGAGGGTAAATTGTATTAAAAGAACCTGAGTGACCATGTAAGCCACATGACGATAATACCTATATATTGTGTAAACCATACCACAAATATATGTATGTATGTCTCTTTATATCAAAAAGACGTTTTTGTGTATGCAACTGTTTGTGATTATCGATATCAAAATATAAATAGAAAATACATGAACCATTTTTATTATTAATATGTTTTATAGCACTCACAATCACAATTAAGCAACTACGCATAAACGTAGTCTAGAACAAATTATGTATTTAAAACAAATTGTATACTTTTATCTAATCCTTTGATACCTAATCACGAAATTGTGTTTGTTAATAATTTAATCGATTGTTTCAATAAAGGACACCGACACATGAACACACACTGAAACAGCAAGCAAACAAATGCGACTTTAAATTTGAATATTCTAAATTTCCATTACTTTTGTATTTAGTTATTTATATAATTTAAGGCTGCATATTTTGAAGCTGTGAATGTGGATAAAGAGAACATTTTTAACTAGTTATGTATAAGTATATATATATATATATATATATGTAAAAATTGCTTCGCGCTTATTGCTGTTGTGTCGAGTTGCCATTGTAGGTGGCCTTATCCTCGTCATCGTCCTTAGCTGTGTCGGCCAAACGACGTATATTGGCCTGGCCAAAGCGTGTTGGCTTAAAGATGCCCGATCGTTGCTGTGCCAAGTCCTGCGGCTGAGCTGCACCATTGTTGGACAGTTCCGTTGGCTTAATCTGATGCTCCGGTCCGCCGACCGCATTCTGTGGATTGGCACGCTGCAGGCCGGGTGCGCTGGTTGTGCGCAGCATAAACATATCCATGTTGCGACGAGAGGCGATACTAAAGGAGGCGGAAATTAAATATTGATTTTAGCTTATATTGGTTTGGAACTTACTCTCCGACCTCGGCAGCGGGAGGAGCCTGGACTTCTTCTCGCCGACGCCAGCCAATATTGGAAATCATCTGCATGAAATTCACGCGCAGACGCTGAAAGCCATACTTGTTGATGTAGTCAAAGGCCACGGCGGCCGGTGTCAGGATTGCCCAGAGGACGCTGGTTAGGATGTTCATCATGTTGTTGCGGCTGCGCACCACCACGTTGACCTGGCTGCTGCCGAGCACCAATAGCACTGCATTGGGCACCAGATTCAAATCGATCAATGACTTCAGCTCATCCTCCGTCTTGAATTCACGCCTCGGATAGCTGGTGGCCAGTGTGAATTCGCGTATGTTGCTGCTGGCGAGCAGCTCCTCGCGCACGTAGTTACGCACTGTGGCCAACGGCTCGATTGCTGGGAAATCTTTAATGCGAATTAGTCCACCGGGCAAGCGGATCTGCAGGCGTGTCTCCTCCACAGCGGAATGATGCGACTGCTCGGGTGTGATCGTTGCTGTTGCCGTTACGGCTGGGCTTGGCGCAGCAGTCACAGGAGCTTCAGCCGCTGCCATGGCTGCTCGATTGGCCAGCTCCGCACGATCGGCGGCAATTTGAGCCAGGATACGTTCACGTGTCGCCTGCTCCTGTTGGCGTTCGCGTCGAATGCGTTCCTTAAAAAACATATAAGGTGATTAGTTGAAGTTGCTATTCGCATTCAGTGGACAATTTCTCGCAACTCACTTGCATAGATTTTAACTCCTGCTCCCGCGCAGCCTGTTGTTGCTCCAGAGCTTCACGTCCCTCACGACGGCGTCGCAATTCGCCATCCTTATCGCGTCGCTTCTTCTCGTCTGAGCGCTCTTTCTTACGCTTCTCCACCTGCTGTTGCACGTTCATCGTCGCACGCAACGCCGTTTGCTCGGTGGCCGTCAATGGCGATCCAGGGCCGGGCACCGCTGTAGATGTAATCTCAGTGGCCATTGTGCCGGCAGTCGCTGAGGTGGCTGCTTCTACTTCTGCTGCTGCGGCTGCTGCAGCTGCCGCACGCTTTTCAGCTGCCGCTGCCGCTGACAAGGCCGCTGCCGTTGGCTCAGCTGGCTTGGGGGAAGAAGTTGCCGCTTCCATCTCAGCAGAAGACACTGCTAGCTCTTTCGTCGATTCCTTTGCTGTTTCCTGGTCAGCTGCAGCTGACTGCTGTAATTTCTTTGCCGGCTCCGATTTGGAAAGGCCTGCAACAGATTTCTTTGTTTGCGGCTCTTCCTGGGCTTCTTTCTGCGCAGCTGGCGCATGTTTCAGTGGTTGAGTCACTTTCATTTCTGTCTCAGATTTTTGCTTAGCTGCAGCCGATTGGCTGCTCATGGCTGCCCCGGGATCCTTGTTAGGCTCCTCAGCTTGCTTTGCTGTCTCTGATGTTTTAGTTGATTTATCTGTTGTCTCTGACTCCTCTTCTGCAGCCGGCTCAGGCACAGGCTCCACAGCTTCCGCTGCAGGTACAGATTTCTGAGCCAATGGAACTGGGTCCACCAGAGTGTTGTCACTGGGATCGTTATCATCGCCGGCGATTTTTCGTCGCGACTGCTCCCCCTGAGCCTCATTGGCTATTGCACTGGTAGTTGGGGCATTCACCTTTTGTTTGCCAGACAGGAGAAGCACCTTATTGATTTTTATCAACAGCTCATCGACTCCGCTAACGATTCCTGTGGCAATGTCCAGTGGGGTGCCAGATTTACCAATGAAGAAGATCGATGGCACAGGTACCACTTTGTCTATGATTATGCAAGTACTACGAGTCAAAATTCAGTCACGATAAAGAGGTTTCACTGTACTTACAGAGCGATATAAACTGTGCATAGCTTGCACTATCACCTTGAATTTTAACAGCTACAAAATCTTGTGTCTGCAACTTTTCAGTGACTCGTGGATCATCCAGATATCTATCCAGATTGGCTGTCATCTCATTCTGGCCTTCATTTAACGATTACAAAATTCAATTAGCAAACATGACGTGGTGAAATTTAAATAGTTGCAAATTGCAAAAAGTCGATCGATTTACCTTGAATGTACACAACGAAGATGGCATCTTTGGCTTTGGATTCAGCCACAGCTTCAGCTATATTGCCCGTGTGCCAATTCATAATTGTTTGCTGCCTGGAATGTTGTTTTGTTACCGAATAATTTGGCTGTTTCACAAATATTTTTCCTTTCTGCCTGACATCTATGGGATAGTGATGAAACTTTTGTTACACGTCTATCGATACTGCCCTTTGTTGTGTTATCGTTTTTGCTCTCAAGCAACAAAAACAACAATATGTATACTTTTATTTCGTTACAAATGTATTTATAGAATTATTTAAATTTATGAATTACAAAATGTGGATGTGAGTGTGAGGTCCCGGATATTATGAAATTACCGTTTGTCGAGTTATTCCTATCTATTCTGTAGAAGAATCTGCAAATATTTACAACATCATTAGCTTAACCTTTTCTTAGTAGCACAATTTATACAAATCTACCATCATCAAAATCCGAGCATACTATGGAGCTGGCTGGCGTCACGGATATCTCGCTACGTTCCACATCGGGCAATCGTGCTACCCGTACACAGCAACGCTTCGGCTTAGATTTTAAAGGGAACGGGTGTCCTGCTGTTGTAGCTGCTGTTTGTCCTTTGATGCGTTCCAAGTTGACGCGACATTTTCGTATTTGCATGCATTCCTGATATACGAAATCACTGTTTGCCATAATAAGTGGATGGCGTGGTAGTTTAACGATCATCTTTTTCAATTTATTTTGTGGCGACATCTTGGTAAGCACGAGCTCTCAGAAAATGTATAAATTATGACGCTAATCGGAGTGAAGCTGCAACGACGCAGCTGACAATTGGAACCAGCTGCTATTATGTCGATAACGATACATTTATCGAAAATAGTTTTCGATTGTGCTGAACAATTTTCAAATAGACTTTTCTTAGTTTTTGATATTTTGCATTATCTTTATCTCACTATTTTATTTAAATTTCGCTCTCATTACTGCTAAACTTGAATAAAATATTTCATTTATTTCAAGTAATCATAGACATATTTAAACGTTGTGCAACACTAGCTACGGGGCATTGTTTTTGTGTGTCATTATTGCAGGGGAATATATTGAGAGAAAATTAAACATTTTCACAAAGTTACGTGTTTATTAAAAATAACATATATACTCAAATATTAAACAGCAGACATGAGCGACATACAAACCTTAATGGACATGGGTTTCCCCAGAGATCGAGTGTGAGTCTAAGCTACAATATTTTTCGCCGGTAATTTAAACAATTATTTTGTTGGGCTGTTTTTAGTGAATATGCATTGAAAGTAACTAGCCACAAGGGCGTCGAAATGGCCATGGAATGGCTATTGGCCCATGGTGACGAAGAGATACCCGCTGCAGCAGCAAGCGATGCAGCAGCCGCAGCTCCTGGCGAAGACACAGCGCCTAGCAGCAGCGGTGCTGCCGAGGGCGCAGCAGTAGCCAAATCTCTGAAATGCGATGACTGTGGCAAGGTGCTCAAGGATCAGACTGAGGTGGAATACCATGCGGCCAAGACAGGCCACAGCAACTTCTCCGAATCCACCGAGGAGAAGAAAGCGCTCACCGAGGAAGAGAAGAAGGCACAGTTAGCTCTGATTGAGGAAAAGCTCAAGCAGAAGCGCGTGGAGCGAGAGGAGCGCGAAAAAGCTGATGCTCTGGAGCGTGAACGTAATCGTATTCGCTCCGGCAAAGACATGACAGAAGCACGCCGTCGCATGGAAGAAATCGAAATGAAGAAAATCGTGGATCAGCGCAAACGTGAAAAGGAGGAGGAGAAGGCGGCACGCGATCGTGTTCGTGCACAGATCGAAGCGGACAAAGCGGCACGCAAAGCCAGGTGGGAAACTTATTTAATTAATGTAAAACTTTCAGCTAACCTCAATAATTCTTATAGGGAAGCAAAGAACAGTCCCGGTGCCCAATTGTCGGACGCCGTGCCCTCTGTCAGCTCCACTACGACAGCCACCACGCCTACTGGCGTCAAGTCGCCACCGCGCGAGTATACGGAGACACGCATTCAGGTGCGATTGCAAGACGGCTCCACACTAGCTTCCGAATTCAATGTGAAGGAGCCGTTGTCCGCTGTGCGTGTGTTCATCCAGGTGAAGACTGGCATCGAGAGTCCATTCGCACTGATGACCACATTTCCGCGCAAGATCTTTGCCGATGAGGACTATGAGAAGCCGCTCGAGGTGCTGGGCCTTGTGCCCTCCGCTGTGATCATCATGACCAAGCCAGCTGCGTAAAGGCTGTCATAAACAACCACAACAACAACAAAAACAACGGCAACAGCATCTTGAACTAACTATACATATATAAAAAACTATAATATAATAAATATGTCGCGATATATGGGGCGTACGATTTTATATAAAGCAAAGGAAAAGCTTAAATGTTTTACAATTTGTGCTACATGAATGGCTCCACATAGTTTTTAATCTTCTTCACACTTCGCTCCGCTGGGCGCATATTTAAATGCTGTCCGAAGATGATGAAATCCATGCTGTCCACGTGGAGGCTGAACACGCATTCGCTCTTGGGTATCGTGCGCACGCGATGATCCTCACCCAGCAGCTTCAGCACGTTCTTGGTGTCCATGACGCAGATTCCACTGAGGCCCACGAGAGTGGGGCATTTGGATTGGTGCACTCGCAGCTTGGCTCCATGCAAATCCATTTTTACCAATTGCCGGCTAAATTCGTCGTAGCGTTTTTCATGCAACTGCGGCACCTCTTCGCCCTCTTTTAGACCCAGATGCTCGCGTATGTAGCCACGCCAGAGCTTGTGCAGCGGTAGTGCCTGTTCGTAGCGCATTTGACGTGTAGGCAGAGTATTGAGTCCGAGCTCTGCATATTCGCGCCTCGTCAGGCTGTTCGATTTGTGAGCGCGACGCTTGCGTGTGTGTTGCTTCTTTGACTTCGTGCCGTGAAGCATGGTAATGTGATCTGGTATGATGTTGACATTGCAGCGGTGATGCGGCACAACGAGATCCGTAAGAAATTCCTTCAAGCTTTCTGTTTCTCTCTCCATTTTGGTCAATATGATTTGTTTACAAAATTCTTAGCATACAGCGCACATTTTATAAACCGATAAGAACTATCGAAACCAACAGCTGTTTATGTTAACTTAACATAGCTCTATTCAACATCAGCCCGCAAATGGAATAATATTTTAAGGTCACACATATTGCTATGCTTCTAATGTTGCTGCAACATTATACAAGAGCTCTATATCTACAAATCATAAAAATGAATTAGAGGTGTACATTAAAATACTCCAAATAGCATATAATTTTACATTAATTAGGCAAACAACATAGTCATCTAATGTTTTTCATATTTACAGTACCCTGCCAGCATAACAGCAGACTGTTCTACTCACGCAACATGTTGCTAAGACTCAGCTGTTTGAGTAAATACCAAAAAAGAATTGATTCGGTCACACAGCGACAAGACCCAGCAGCCCGGTCACATTGCCAGAAGTTTTTGTTGTTGTCAGTCCTATCACGACTTTCGCATAAACGACACGCATAAAATCGGTAAAAAGACGCCGCGTGTGTTTGATGCAAAAGGCAGAGGAAAAATTTAATACATACACACACATGTATTGCAAAAGCAATTTCGCTACTGCCTATCAAACTTCGGGTAGTGTGATAAAAAGATAATGCAATAAATATTCTGTGCTCCCCCCAAACAAACGTGACCAAATGCACAAATAAAAAAATTACAACAAATATTCAATTGATTGCCGTCGGTTTCGTTCGCGCTCTCTCTCTTTCGCTCGCCTCGCTCTTTCTCTCTGTGTGTGTGGCTGTGTCTTTAAATGAATATGTGTACGCGTTAATAAAACACAAATAATAACAAATTCGTGAGACTTGCTGCATTTTAGTCGCTGTTGCAGTTCCGCTGTGAACCACTGTGTTGCCGTCTCAGCTCGCGCCGCGCTTTGAATTTGTATTTGTACATTTCACATTGTCTCTCTCTCACACCGCCGCCGCCGCCAACGACGCTGCACGCACACACACATACGCAAGCCGCACGTAAAACCAAACACACACACATTCATACATACAAATGCGGAAGAGTCGCCGCAGTCGGCATATTTAGCTCCCCACCGTTGCCATCAACAATAATTCGCTGCCGTTGCCTCTGTCGCCGCCGCAGTCGTCGCTCAATAATTGTGCATTTTGTTTAAAGGTAAGCTCGAAGCTGGGAAAAACTGCCAAATTCCATGTGTGTGCTATACAAAAAGCCGCACATTTTGTGCATTTCATTGCACTCTTTCTTTTTATTGCTATTGCTATTGCTATTGCCCCGTGCATTGTTTTCCATGAGCGTTGCCTTGGCGTCAGCGTCAGCGTCTCAGTCGGCATCGGTGTCGGTGTCGAGCCGCAACGACAGCAAAAAGTGTCAAGTGCGCGACGCTGACGCTAAACACGATGTGAGAGCGCACGCCGTCTCGCTCTCTCTTTTTGTTGCTATTGCAAAACATGTGCACATATTAAATAAGAAATTTGTTCGTCATTTTTTGTCTGCGCTGCCATGTAAACATTTGACTCAAAAAAAAAAAGAGTAGGAATTAACTCCATAGTCCACTTTTAGTTTCTTTTTCTGTTTGCCTACTCTGGGCTCTCTCTCTTTCTCTCTGGCTCTTGCGCTAGCTCACTGACTCACGCATACATATACATGCGCGCACACTAACAAAGACGCGCCCCGGCCGCAGCTAACGGCACTTTTTCGTCTTTTTCTCGGTTTGCCTTTTTCTCTTTGCCTGCCAAAAAATGCGCCTAAAAATCTAAATCTCAAATTCTTCTATTTCCACTTTATTTTTTCTCTCTCTCTCTCTCTCTCTTGCAGTCGCCAGCAGCAACAGCAACAACGACAACAGCAGAATAAAAATCAAAGAAAAGCGTGTATAAAATGCAGAATTTAAATTAAATTCCATCAATTCAATTTTAATGTGTTAAGTCAAATTCAAATAACAACAACAACAACAACAAATGGTGCGCAACAACAACAATAATAACAGAAATCCAAAATTACAAACTTCTAATGGGCAACTATTGAATGGCGGCCATTAGTGGCCCCAAGCGGCATCCATTGAGCAGTCAACACCATTTCTCCCATCCAACTACCACCGCCACGAACTGCAGCAGCAGCAGCAGCACCACCATCAGCACCACCATCACCACAACCACCAACACCAGCAACAACAGCACTAACAACAACAACAAGCAACGACTTTATAGCTATCAAACGCCAGCTAATCCCCAGCACACAGCACAAAGTTACTCCACCAATACCACTACCACCACCAACATCGCCACTGCCACCGCTGTCGTAGCGGCCGTCGGCACCACCACTAAGAAGAGCAACAGCAACAGCAACAGCAACAGCATCAACAGCTGCCCAAATTCTTCAGCTGCTGCGCCGCGTAGCTCGATGAGCGTTTCGATGTCACTGGTACAGGGTGGTGCTGCCGGTGGTGCGCCACAGGGCGCCAGCGCAATATTGGCCGCAGCGGCTCCATATTATCAACCGCCAGCGGTGCCACAGGATGTCCAGCCGGATCGTCCAATTGGCTACGGTGCATTCGGAGTTGTATGGTAAGTCAAGACATCAGAAAAGTTTTTCATATGAGATTATCTAAAATATAATATTTGTACATGGAATATAATATAATATAAACAATGGTAAACAAGAATCAAATAAATTGTAATATATTGATGTCAAAAGTTTGTAGTGTTTGATGATGATATGCTTTGATATTACCATAGATTATGATAAGGATATTACAATCTGGCCAATGGGCTATGCCAGTGTAGATTCATAGAAAGAAGATATACATATATTGAATATATCATAGCACTGTATTATCCCTGACTTTGAACAAGCTTTTCCCAACTTTCTCTATATTTTGTATACCTCCTTATTTAAATTACATTTCATATACATAGTAAATCCAAGTTAGCTCTTCATGCTAGACTAAAGAGTCCTGTCATGTAACTCTGGGGTTCAATGCCTCTTGCGCCTGGCGGCGACCTTTCCCTCTGTGCAGCCCTTTCGACATGGGCCTCTGTTTTGTTATTATTATTATATACTCTTCTTCTATGCACTTTTTAGCCCCTTTCGATGTATGTATGTCTGTATGTACGTTTTTTTGTATGCGGTCTGTCGTCGCAGCGTCAACATTAACATCAGGCGTCGCGTCGTCCTTCGTCCTTTGTGCCTAGTTAGGGTGGTTTTTCTCTCTCTAAATATGCTCTGCTACCCACCCATTCTAAACAAGCTTGCTCGCCTGTCCCCCTTCCCCCTTGCTTCCCTCTCCAGCTGTTTTCTGTTTCTTTTTGTTCTTTTCTGTTTTGGCTCGCGGCCGTTCGCCGGGCTAAAGTTTTTCCCAACCTTCTTTGATTTGCATTTTTACAATTTTTACATTAATTGTTGCTAAACGAGTTGTGCAACGCTTGTAACGGTTGATTCTTTGACTTGTTTTTGACAGCTGAACTGAAATTTGGCAACGCTGCGCATTACGTTTCAATTTTATACAAATTTCATTCACGTGTAAAACGGCATTTCCGGCTCTGCGGGACAGAGACAGAGAGAGAGAGAGATAGATAGAGAGGTAGAGCAAAAGTGTTGGGTAAACACCAAAAGAAGCTAGCGAAAGAAGTAAAAAAAAAAAAAAAACTGGCACACGCTAAGTGACGCCTAGCAGGAGAAGGGGCGATGAGGGTCGGGTTAGGCATAGAGTAGAAGTGCTTAAAAGTAGGCACAAGGAAGTTGTGCAGCGCATAAAGACGACAACGAAATGTGCCACAAGTGGAGGAGAGTAAGCAGCATCGTCGTCGTCGTCCGTACCGCCGCTGCCCGGCCTCTCCGGTAACCCCAAGCCCTAGAAGAATGGGGCAAAACGTGAAAAGCTGTTTAAAAGGAGAAAGAAGCCGGCTTGGCTTAGGCCTTCTGGCTTAAAGCAGAAACCCGCAGAATAGAGTCGTTGACGTTGGATTGGCTTTTCAAAAGCAATCATCATGCTCTGGTCGGGTCTGGTCTGTCTGTCTCTTCGTCTCCTGGTCTCCTGGTCTCCTGGTCTCTGTGGCCTGGGTCGTCGCAGTCAGCTGCACTGGCTCAGTGAAAAACTATATTAATATATAGCCTGGGCCACTCGGCACTCCACACTGTAAATGCAATCAAGCGTTAAATTTAAGTGCCAAATGTCGAACTTGTTGTTAGATGCCCGTGTGGCCAGATGCCGAGGCTAGTTTTGTTTATGTGCCGTTGGTTAGCAGGCAGGCAGCCAGCCAGCCAGCCAACATCCAGCAGCCGGCAGCAGGTGAGAGAAGGTGTAGTCTATTACTTTGGCAGGAAGTCGCACAGCAAGGCGAGCAAGTGTCACAGTTAATGAAGTCTGGCAACATCGGTCAAAGTGCTTCAAATTGGAATCCCAATTGGAATTTCACTTGAAATTGTTAAAAACAATAGCTCTGGGCCATTAATGGAAATGGATTTTGGGGTTTCTGTTTGATTTTATGCGCAGCTTTGTAAACTATTCGGAGCGACTGGAATTGCGTCAGCCTTTCCAGTTTGTCAACAGCTTAAACCAAACATTTCGAAAATGTGACTTTCAAATGGATTTAAACTCTTTGTTTAGGCAGATGGAGATATGCAGAGGCTTATGTGAAGCTTGTTAGCATTGCATGAAATTGGAAGCTTACATAAATTTGGAACTAGCTGAAAATAATATATGTAATAGCTGAAAGTTGACAACAGTGTAGGAAATGTAATAGTAAAATATAATATGTGATTAATGTAATATCATTTATTGTTGTGTAGAGATGTTTAGAGTCTGTCCTGAAGGTTGGCAACATGCTTCAATACTTGACTCTTTCCAAAGAAACATTAATTGCTTGAATTTGAACTTATATTCAAGGAATTATGTATGCTAACAGTCAATGTCATTTAACAGAAGCTTAACAGTACAGTCATTTAACATAAGTTAATGGGGCAATCAATGCTTGACTACGACGCCTACGCATGTTGCGTGTTAATTATATCATAAAATAGATTTAAACAAAGCATATATGTCAGCTTATTATTCAGCATAAA